TTCCTGTAATTGCTGTGCTTCTTCTCATCATCAGAGGACATTCACACACCTCTGTGTAGAGATTTAGCTTCCTTCTCTTCTTTGTCTAGTAATTCCTACTGATCCTTTAGACTTTGATAACACTATCATTTCTTAAGAAAATCTATTGCTTTTCCTTTCCACTCAGTTCAATCCCCTCATTAGATGTTTTTCTTTTCTTTTTAAGGATTTTTTAAAAATATTTTTCAAAATCTGAGTTATAGACAGAGAGGGAGAAACAGAGGGAGAGAGAGAGAGCTTCCATCTACTGGTTCACTCCCCACATGGCCACAGCAGAGAGCTGGCCTGGAAGAGGAGCAACCGGGACAGAATCCGGCGCCCCGACCAGGACTAGAACCTGGGGTGCTGGCGCCACAGGCAGAGGATTAGTGAAGTGAGCAGTGGCGCCGGCCCCAAGGCAGCCATTTTTAAACCTAAGGGAGTTATAGTTCTTTTTGAAACTATTGCCACTATTTGAAACTTTGCCACTATTACTAATAAATAATCAATATTCACTGAAAACAAAGCAAAACAAAACAAAACCCACAGCGAAAAATACCTAAACATCCCACTAGTTAGTGATTCTATCACTGGACTAAACTGATCATTTCAATTTCAAGTTACATCTGTGTCTATCTATGTAAGTCTGAAAGACATCTAGATAAAAAGGCATGTGACTTGCTGCTATATGAGTATATGGTTCAATACCATTTATATTAAATGTAAAACAAGATTTATATTTGATGAATATATAAATATGTAACAAGAAAATGAAACATTCACAGAAATTATAAATATTCTATTTCCACATAGTGTTGAACTTCTGGACTAGGAGGGGCAAAACTGAATAGGGACAAAATATAGCAGATTCTAACTAATGCTTTCTTTATTAAAAAGGAAGGAGAAACTGGAGCACATAACATACTAAAATTTCAAAGATTTGCGCTTGTGAGTAGAAAGGGGTTTATTAGGTTATTCTCCCTTTTTGTCCATATAAACATATCAAAATATTTAAAAATGAAAATAACACACTACCTAGCTCATGGGGGATGTCATAAAATAAAAGCATATGTAAGGAGGCTGGTGTTGTGGCACAGTGAGCTAAGCTGCCACCTGAGCCCTGGCTGCTCTGCTTCTGATGCAGTTCTGTGCTAATGCACCTGGAAAGGCAATGGAGAATGGCCCAGGTGGGAAACCTGATGGATGTCCAGTCCTGGCGTCAGTCTGGCCCATCCCTGCCTGTGGTAGCTATGTGGGGCATGAATCAATAGGCAGAAGAACCCTTTTTCTCCTCTCTCACTCACTCATTCTGATTTTCAAATAAATAAATCTTTAAAAAGAAATCAATAGGCCGGTGCCAGGGCTCACTAGGCTAATCTTCTGCCTGTGGCACCGGCATCCCGGGTTCTAGTCTCAGTCGATGCGTGGTTCTGTCCCGGTTGCTCCTCTTCCAGTCCAGCTCTCTGCTGTGGCCTGGGAGTACAGTGGAGGATGGTCCAAGTCCTTGGGCCCTGCACCCGCATGGGGGACCAGGAGGAAGCACCTGGCTCCTGGCTTCGGATTGGTGCAGCGCGCAGGCCGCAGTGGCCATTTGGGGGGTGAACCAATGGAGGGAAGACCTTTCTCTCTGTCTCTCTCTTTCATTGTCTAACTCTGACTGTCCAAAAAAGAAATCAATAAAAATACACCAAAAGGTAAGTGAATGTGCTTTGGAAAATGCAAATGCCTTAAATGTGCTACCTCTGCCTAAATTCATCCCATTTAAATTTAAACAAGAAATAGATATTGAGCAGAACTAAACATCCCACTGCAATCACAGGTGACTTGTATGTGAAACAGCAGTCACAGATTCCTCATTACATGGAGTCTTTGTATCCTGCTGAACAGATTCCAAGACGTTCTCCTCAGGACTCCTGGGTCTTCAGAGAAGCAACTTAGGGGATATCAACATAGATAAAGAAAATGTCTAATTTTCAGCCCCTGGACACTCATGTTTCAACCTAAACAGATTCTCTGTGCTAAGTAGGTTTTGTTAGAGATTCTGTAGGCAATATTGTTAAGTTGGGCAAGAATTTACTGAAAACCACAGATCTAACCTTCGTACTTCATCAGGGCTCAAGCATTACAGCAGAAGCCTGTTATTCTTATTTTATGGCTGGCCATTTGTGTCTTCCTATGCCACTGGAGTATGACTTTATTTGGAGATTTTATTCTACATGTTGGATGCTGTCTGCTGAGGTGTAGCTAAGATGCTCCAGCTATGGGGAGGGAACTTTAACTAGACCTGCAAACAGAGCCATATTGAAGGTCATACAACCTAGACTTCAAACCTGAGCTGACCAGGAGGTTCACATGAGCAACTATCAAGCAGGGTTCTTATTTCCACTAAACTCAGGATCATATCTGATCATATTCCTCTTAAATCTGAACCTTAGGGAAGCAACCTTGCTAGTATGAGGGGCCAGGGTTTTCCTGGGACAATGAGGCTGACAAATGGAGGTCCTGGAAAAGTTAGCAGAGTTAAGGACTGGAAAGACACAGGGTCTCTCAATGATGACAGTTGAGCTCCCAAATCCAGCTGTGACATGATTATTCAGCCATGTCAAACAGTGAGTTCCCTTTTTGCTTTTAATTACACTGAAGAATTTTGATTTGATTTTCACTTCCCACCTTGCACATCCACTGCTCAGTTTCTCAGACTTCAAATCTACACCTTAATTTTATCTCTCCAACAAAGTATTTTTAATAAGGGTACATCAGAATGACTACTCTTGTTATTTTGAATAACCATTAGAATTAAAATTTAATAATCTTTATGAGTCTGCAGCCAAGTAAAACTTTTTTTTGCCTTCTTTAAACCTATGAAGTAGATTATAAGATGTAAATACTTGAATAGGGAGTGATTAATACATTCCATTTATATACAATACTGTGAACCCACATTTCCCAAAGCAACATGAAAACAGCTGTCAAACCTACTCACTTCATTTTTCACAGGGTGGAACAGCTGCTGAGGGTCTGATAAACATTCAGGGCAAGGCATGAAAAAATGGCACAGGGAACCCTTTTAAAACAAGACAAATGTGCTCCCAAATAGTTGGAAAATAATCTGAGGGAGTAGTAAATCCAGGCATCATCTTAAAATTTAGTTATGAGTTCCAGAGGAGAAATAAGGCTTGCCGAGTGTCACCAAGAGCTAACAATAGGTCTCAGGTCTTCATGTGTTTGCATTCTTTCTGCTTTGATGCCAATTTCACGCACAACATATGATGGATGATCAAATAAATAACTGTCAAGTGCATTGGGTTTGGAAGAGGGAAAAACCATAACTACCTATCAGAAAACAAAGTAAATAACAAGTGGAATTAAAGGAAATTTTTGAACACTGCCATTTGCTGATACTTAGCCAAGAACTCTGTCTCCAAATGTAATATAAATAAGGTGAGATTCTATGAACTCAGGATAATTCTATCAGAGTCAGATTTCTCAAGTATTCATCCAGACATATATTTACTAAACATTGTTGAGTACCACAGAGAAGGCACTGTGTTGCGTATGTTGTATGTGGTAAAAAGGCAGAAGGTGTGGAGGTGGGGTGGGAAATAGATGATTCCTGTTCTTAAAGAAGTTTACAAACTTGTAGGAAGATCCTAAGACATATATTTTTCAGTGTTAAGTCACAATAAACACAATTTTATTTCCTACCTTATCTTCTCTACTAATCATGGGGAACTCTCTTTTTCCTTAAAACAGACTGCACTGGCCTTAACTGTTTGATAAATGCATAAATGGAGATCAAATTGTGAATCAGAGTTGTGAGCTTAAATGACTTGTCTATTCCTTTATTTTTTTCAAATACTATCTGTCATTCAACATTTATTCCAATTCTCTGTTTTCTCCAAAGACTCCTCCACTGATACTCACCTTCTATGAACCACTGTAATGCATTACTGGATATTTTTATGCTTAAGCATATGCTTTCCTAATATGTTAGGGCTTGTTTTCCCAGCTACTTTGAGCACCTGGGCTATAAACCATCTTACTTTTCTTTCAATTCCTAAAACAAAGCACTTAAGTGATACATGTATTCCAAAGGAAGAAATGGATAAATGCCACTTCCCTTATTTGGTATACATGTCCAGAGAAGTCCACACCAAAAGCTTTTCATGTTGGCCATTTAACCTAGTAATGATTGAATTACTAGAAATCGTAACTTAAAGACAGGGACTAATTTTTATTTTAATCTTACCACAGTTCCTTGATTAGGGTAACCTCCATGGTCCAACTATCTCATTCACTACTAGCCTGTTCATTGTGTATAGAAGAATTGAATTTGATAAGAAATAATTAGAGAGGTGAGCATTTGGCATAGCAATTAAAGCCACCAATTAGGACATTTACATATCAGACTTCCTGAGTTCAATTCCCAGGTTCCTGAATCCAGCTTCCCACTAATGTTGACTCTGGGAGACATTCGGTGATGGCTCTCGTGATTGCCACCCATGTGGGAGACTTGGACTGAGTTCCTGGCTCCTAGATTTATCCTGGTCTGGCACTAAGAAGGGCATGTAGGGAGTGATTCAGTGCATGGAAGGCTCTCTGTCTACTTCTCTCTGTCTCAAAAAATAAATAAAAGAAAGAAAAAAAAAAGAATTAGACAAAAATATATATGATTATCTGTCATTGAAGCACAATATAATCAAAAGACGTCCATATTTTAACAGACGATCAGTCACTGAAATCGGCAGTTCACTTTCCAATTATCTTATCTGAAAATGAAAGAAATTATAAAAATCTGGCCTATATAAATAGTATGAGATAGTTCTAATGTTGCCAATAACTGTATGGAGCTCATGCTTTGTGGATACTTATTGAGAGATCTCAGTCTACTATAAAAGTGGGGGACTAAGTAGTTGAGGATGGACTAAGTAGTTATTTTTTCCATCATATTACATGAATTTTACTCATAGAAAGAAATCAAAGAAAGGACTTAGCATTCTTGACCAGTTAGTTCCTTTCAGAATGCCCTCTAAGCTGGTAAGGAACCTATTGAAAGGATCTCCCTTTAAACAGAGGCAATTTTTAATGACATCAGGCACATTTAAGGCCCACAATTACCCTTTGAGGAGTTGCCTTAAGGGAGAATTCTAATTTCTTTTTGTTCTACATAGTCTTTGACAGAATCAGCATATGTTAACCGTAATAGAGAGAGAACAATACAACAGGGCGACTCAAACCCAGTTCAAAGTCAAGCCTATCTAGAGGAAAGCTAATTCAATTATTAAGAGGCAACCTGTGTTTATTCTCAATGGGTGGCTCATCTCGTGGATGTGGCAGATCTTCACAGACTCTGACCTGTTAAAAATGGTACCTCTCGATGTAATTCAGTGCATCTTTCCATCTCTCAAGAGTAAGAAAGCCAAGACAACGTGGTTCTCCTGGATTCAAAATCCTCAGCAGTTTTCTTTCTAGGCCATCAATGTTCTGTGCCCCTCTGTCTTTTCACATGCAAGGTCACTCACAGTCATTCTTCTTTCACACTGCATGACAAGAGTGATTATGATTCAAACCATAATATAGTTTTGATATAGAGAATGCTAAAAATTACAATCTGTAAGTTATGGGCTAGGTTTGACCTAAATTTCTACTCCAGACTCCTGCCTGTTACTTAGAGAATTCTAAGTAGAGGCACAAACACGATGTGCAGCATGATAAAGTTTATTTTAAAAAGTAAGGGGAATACACAGGCACGTGAGGGTTTTATTTAGGGAGAGTGGGCCAGGAAAGGTAAAGAGGGACTTCCAAGCCCTGCTCACCCTGGGTCCATGAGGACAGAGGGAGGGGGAGAGGGAGAGGGAGCCCTCCCCTCTACCAGGCTTCTTATGAGCTCAGAAAAGGGGAAGCGATGGTTATACAGTACTGCCCCAAGGTCCCAGGTAAGGTCATCTGATTGACCTGTGGGTAGACAGGATTACATGGGGTGGGAGAGGTGTGGCTTCCAGCTCATGAACTTCATTCCCCTGACTATGTCCCACCTAATGTATGGACTGAAATGCTTAATGACCTTAAACTAGTTTTAAAGTATTTGAGGTCTTCTTTCAAAACTGCTAACAAAAATATTTTGAGATTTGATTATTATTCATAGCCCATGTCTATATTCCTGAGGAATGGTAGGTTTTTTACTTACTAGTGGTTGCATGCTTTATTTAGTTGAGAGTTAAGCTTGTGGTTATGAAGTAAATTGAATGTATATCATGGTAAAATTTAAAATAAAATAAAATAAAGGAGGAAAAGGAGGGTAGGAGCAAGGGAGGGGGGGTGAGGGTATGGTGGGAAATGTCATTATGCTCTTAAAATGTATATATAAAATACATAAAATTTTCCCTTTTATTTAAGTAAAAATATTATTTAAAACCATATAAAAGCAACACACTTATACCACACACACTAAAGCAAAATTTTAAGAATTTTGCACTCATAGTTTAAGCGTTAAAAATAAAATTCCGGGGACAGGTGTTCAGTCTAGCAGTTATGGCACTGGTTAAGATGCCTGCACACACATCAGAGCACCTGCACTGCATTCTTGGCTCTGCTGCTGACTCTGGCTTCCTGCTGATGCAGACCTCAGGAGGCAGCAATGATGCCCGAAGTGATTTAGGTTCTGGTTACCTAACAGGGGGCTTGGAGTGGGTTCCAAGTTCCTGTCTCCTGTCACCTCAGCTCAGCCCTCACCCAGCCCTGAACCCATCCTGGCCATTGTGGGCATTTGGGGAATGAGTGAACCAACAGATCAGAATATGCTATATTTATCTCTCTTTTTGTCTCTTAAATTACTTAAAATGTAATTAATAAACTTTAATGATTTAAAGCCATATTTCCCCTAAACATTTGTCAAAGGTATTTTTTCTAAGTAGTGTACTTTTCTAATATCACTTTATCATCATTAGTTTTCCTAAAATTGCCTATAAGCTCCTTCCAAGTTGCATTTCATGTTTAACACATTTGAAGTTTCTGACAATTTCAACTTATTCCTTTATTTAAAGTATATTTTTAAATTAAGAAAACTTTGTCCATACATCTAAGCTTGTCCATTCTGCAACACAGCTTGAACTGAAATATTTTATACTCTTTTTAGCTATGGTTTAGTTTACCTCTTCAACAAATATTTTATCAGACAAAATCTTTAAAATAACATATCTATACTGATCACTGACTTAATTGTTTTACTAAATTAATAAACCCAATCTCACACATCTTTTAAATTTTATGTCATATAGGTAGGAGATATAATTGTGTCCAATTAAAAAAATGGGAAATTTATTGGAAAGTTTTCCTCACAATTCATGATCAAATCACAATTACAGAATTTCAAATTTAAATCTAGTATAACATTTGAGCTCTTATTTCATTTGACTGGATAACTGCTTGTTTAATAGGAAAAGTTCTATCTTTTAATTTATAAGCTTTGTTTCAATAACTGCAACCTGCTAAGAACTTTCTAAAAGTAAGTATGCTTTTGATATAATGGAAGCAGTCAGGTAGGGACAGGTGAGTTGGAATTTCTGCCAGTTCTGCATCCTAACTTTATCCCTTACGTGTCAATCTAATACACCCACTTTCTATTGACACACCTGTGTCTCATCTGGGGTGAGGAAGGAGACACCATGATGGCCATGTGGAGGTACCATGAATATTCCAGCAAGTCTCAGGCACAGTAAACTCCTCCCAGACTCCATCATGCTTGTGTATGTAGTTTAGGGCACCATCCCCAAACACAAAAAGAGATTGATTACATAGGAGAGGCCCTTTTTTTGTGTTTGGAGATCCTACCATGGCTTGCTCCCTCTCTCTCTCTGCATAGGCGAGTAATCTGGTCCATAATGATAGGTATCTCTCCATGAGGAGTGGCCCACACTCACACATGAAAGTATGTTCTCTCTGTTCAATAAATCCTTCCTTACTAATGTATCGTTTCTATGCCTCTGCTTTGATTTCTTATCTCTGTGGGTTTAAGAACCTGAATTAAAGATTAAGATGCACAAGTCCCTAACACTTCAGGCTCAACTCTTTGGATATTTAATTAAGTATTCGTATAGATCTTGAAAAAAACTCTAAGTATTCACATAAAATAGCAATAATATTGTAAGACACACATGATAACTTCAATCAAATTTCACATATTTCTGACATCAGGTAATGAGGAAAGGTGAGTTCTGCTATACTGAAGACTTGTTAATTTTTTTTTTTTTTTTTAATTTGAAAGTCATAGACAGAGGGAGAGGGAGAAGCAGAGCAATAAGTTGTCCATCTGCTGGTTCACTCCACAAATGGCTGCAAGAGCCAGGTCCAGGCCAGGCTAAAACCAGGAAGTAGGAACTCCTTCCTGCTCTCCAACATGTGTGGTAGGGTCATAAGCATTGGGACCATCTTCCACTGCCTTCCCTGGTACACTACAGGAATCAGGAATGGAAGCGGAGTAGCCAGGACTTTAACAAGCATTCTGATATGGGGCACTGGTTTTGTAAGCAGCAGCTTAACTAGCTGTGCCACAACTGCAACCCCCTAAAATATATATTCAATGTCACCTTTGTCAAACAGATATTGTGGTTCAACTACTTTAACTCTGCATGTATAAAAATGTGCTAAATTTTGTCAACTGCAGTATCTATTTTGATTGCTGAAAAGCTGTAGATTATTTGGAAGCAATTTTTAACCTGAGTTCCTCACAATTAATATAAGATTTCAGCTCCAGAGATCTAATTTAGTAAGAACATTTAACTTGGTAAGAATATACAGCTATTTAATATTAAAATACACATTCTTATTAGCCACCCTTACACACAAACACACATACACTACTTCCAGTCATTAATTTTTAAATTGAAATTTGCAATAACAGCCACAATAAAGTCATGTTTCATCAATGGTGGATGAAGTGTGGTAAGTTTTCATTTGGTTCCATGGATTTGATAACATTGAATCATGATTGGAAAGACATGTTTTTATATTGTAAGCATCTGAGGATAATGATGTACAACAGGCATCATTAGCTCTTGTGAAACTTCCTTCTGCTAATGGAGTCTATACTTCATTAACTATCTTTTCATTTGTTATACATTCACAGAAAAACTCAAAGAGAATGCTCAAAGCCAAAATCAGAAAATTCATTTGATCTTTTTGATGTTAGGCTTGTTAAGAATATAAGTATTTTGGACCTGATACTGATGTACTGGAGCAGCAGCTCTGGACAGAGTCATCAGTGCTGTGTTTTGCCCACACCTCCAGGACGCTCTGATGCACATTCAAGTTGGAACAGCAGTTACCCAAATGGAAAGTCAAGTCACACAAAGTGTTCTGTAAATGCAACTTCTGCAGCTACGAGCCTTGCAAAGTCTTTGTTGCTTAGTCCAGCAATATATTTCTACACATATATTTTAAATTGATTTTTGAACAAAGGGGCCAATGCAATTCAACAAAGGAAAAGAATTTTAACAAATGATGCCATCAAATTTGACAGCCATGAACTAAACAAAAGCAATACAGTATCACCCCATACCGGTACCATATATTAAAACTAATATTAAAATTGATCACAGACCAATAAGGAAGTGTTAGTATTACAGAACTTCTAGAAGAAAGAAAAAGGGGAAAATCATACTGACCTTGAGTTTAGAAGACATGAATATCACAAATTCTGAAAAAAATAATCAAAATGACAATATTAAATATCAAAATGACAGCTTTTGCTTTTCAAAGCGTTAATAAAAAGTCCATCTTGGGGAAGGTGTTTGTCTAGCCGTAAAGACATGGTGTGGCAGGAGGTGGGGGGGGGGTGGATTCCAAATAGTGACAGTCTGTTCTGCTCTAGGCTAGGCAAACGAGTGAAAAAAAAAAAAAAAAACGTGGAGAAAGTGCATTCTCAGGGAAGAATCTGAGGAGAAACTGCAATGGAGATTCTGCAGAAGGAAGAGAGACACTGTGGACGCGTGGCAGTGAGCATGGACATGACCAAGGACCCCAGAAGCCCTGAGCCAGAGGAAGCGCCAAGTTAGGGAGTGAGGTGAGATCAGACTGTAACAGCCCATGCTGCTGCTGATAAAGCTGGAGGGACAGCTGAGGAGATTGCACTATCTTTGAGTCTCACCTAGAGCCCTAGGTGAACAGAGCGCAAACCCAGAGAAAAAGAAAAGAGGCGCATCTCTCTCTCCCCGTCCCCTGCCGCAATGGCGTCCAGCAACGGGCTGTGAGAAGGCGGGTCCATTTTGGACTTAAGTAGTTAGCAGCTGCTACATGGCTTGTGTGAGGACCCAGTAACTGGCAAGGACAGTCTCCATGTTGTCAGCAGAGGCAACCACAGCAGCTCCACTGCGCCCACCCGGCAAGGGCCGGGGAAAAGGAGCCATTCCGGCATTTGTACCCACTGCAGAGCGCTTCTAGGCACCTAGCACGATTGTGAAGTAAGTAGGGCTGCAGCTGGCAGGTTTTATCTGATTCAGGGATTTTACCAGAGGGAAAAACTCATGTTTCCCACTGACTCTGAGTGTGGCAGGGAGGACTGACAGTGGGCTGTGGACCCACGTAGCATTGTGAAGTGCCCCCTTATGCTCCCAACACATCACAGGCTTCAGGGTTGCATCTGCTTAGGCGGGGTGCCCACAGGCAGCAGGTTCTGGAAACCTCTCAGCCTGTCTGTGGACAGAACAGGCTAGTGGGGAGGAGAGGATCCTTTGTACCTGCTGGCAATGGGAGCCCTGATTCCTGAGCCTGTGGGAACACAGTGACTGCCTGAGACGGTGCAGTGTGGAGCTGGGTCTCTGCGAAATCCATGTGAGCAGCTCCACATGCTCAGATCTCCTTGAGTGCCTGTGGTGGGTCATCTAGCAGGATCTGGGCTCACACTGAGGGCTGCACAGATCATCACATGGAAGCATGGATGAATATTATACCCCTGAAGGCCATCACTGGGCATTAGTCAGCTTGAGAGAGGAGGTGGGAGTGTGTGATGAAGTCAACAGTGTGACCATAGTCCTCCTTCTTTTAACAAGTGGAGATCAACTGTCATCCTAGATACATGCCTCACCCTGCAGCACTGACAAATTCCTGGCAATGCCCCACACAGCTCTCCTAGTGAATACTGAGAGCAGACATCTCACTAAGCCACAGAGGCATAGTTCAAAGATAAAAGCCATCAGAGGAAAAAACCAACAGTATCTCCACAAATGCCTAAAAAACATGTGGAAGTTCAAGAAACAAGATTAAGGAAAACAACATGACCTCCCTAAAGGAATACAACACTTCAATATTAGACTGTGAATATGAATATTGATGAAATGCCTGAAATGTTATTCAAAAAATTAATCATAGGATTACTCAGAAGTATTAAGAAGCAAGTCCATGAATAAAGAAATCCATGCTTAAAATGAAAGTAAATTTTTCCTATGAAATTGAGATATTAAAGAGAAAAGAAACTGAAGTATTATAAACAATGAAGCAGACTTGGTGAGGCAGAAGAGAATACACAAGCTAGAAGACAATTGGATACTTTTAATTCAAACCAAAAAAAAAAAAGAAAATGAAATTAGAAAAATTAAAACAGTGTTGGAGATTTATGAGATATTATCATAGGACCCAACATACTTAGTAGTTCCTGAAGGTATGGAAAAAATAGAATGGACTAGAAGGCCTATTTAGTGAAATAAGTAAAAACTTCCCCAGTTTGGAGAAAGAAAGTACAGGAAGCACATAAAACTCCTAATAGATATGCCCAGAAAAGACCTTCACCACGACACATTGCAGTCAACTGTTTAACAGTAAAACATAAAGCAAGTATTCTAAAATGTGCATGAGGCAAATGCCAAATTACTTTTAGAGGATAACTAATTAGACTCAAAACTGACTTCTCATCAGAAACCCTACAGGCCAGGAGAGAATGGTGAGATATAATCCAAGTCTTTAGAGAAAAACACTGTCAACCCGGAATAGTGGACCCTGCAAAGCTCTCATTTATGAATGAAGGTGAAATAAAAATCTTATGTAACAAAGAGAAATTGAAAGGATTTGTCACCATTCATCCAGCCTTACAAAAGATGCTTAAGGATATGCTACACACAGAAACACAGAAAGATAGTCATCATTATGAAGTAACAATAAGGCAAGAAATCTCACAGTAAAAGTACAAAGGAAATCTCATGTAAAACATAGTACTATTTTTGGAAAAACAGCAGGTCCAAGTCATTACTTATCAAAAGTCAGCTTGAATGTAAATGTCCTTAACTCTCCAATTAGAAGATACAGACTGGCTAAATGGATTAAAAAAATAAGACCCATCTACTTTCTGCCTAGAAGAAATACATCTCATCAACAAAGATACACACAGACTTAAAGTGAAAGGCTGGAAAAGGATATTCCAAATAACAGAAAGCAAAAAAGAGCAGCTGTAGCCTTCCTAATATCAAACAAAATAGATTCTAACACAAAAACTCTTGAAAGAGACAAAGAAGGACACTATGTAATCATTAAGGGATCAATTCAGCAGAAAGATGTGACTATAATAAATGTATATGCACCCAATCCCAGGGAACCTGGCTATTTAAAGGAAATGTTAATGTATCTAAAGGGAGACATATACTCTAAAATAATAGTAATTGGGAACTTCAACAACCCGCTTTCTTCAGCGGACAGAACAACTACACAGAAAATCAACAAATAAACAGAGCTACCTGACACTATTGACCAAATGGACTTAACAGATATCTATATACCTTTTCATCCCACTGCTGCAGAATGCACATTCTTCTCATTAGGGCATGGAACTTTCTCTAGAATAGACTCTCTGCAAGGCCATAAAGCAAGTCTCAACAAATTCAAAAGCTTCAAAATCACACCATGCATCTTCTCTGACCATAATGGAATGAAGCTGGAAACTAACAATTCAAGAATCTCTAGAACGTATGCAAACACATGGAGACTGAACAACATGTTTCTGAATGAACAGTGGGTCATAGAAGAAATCAAAATACAGATAAAAAATTTCTAGAAAGGAATGCAGACAACAATATAACATATCAAAATGTTTGGAATACAGCAAAAGCAGTGCTAAAAGTGAAGTTTACAGCAACTGGTGCCTACAGGAAGAAATTGGAAAGGTACATCACATTAAAAAACTTAAGAACAAAAACCATATGGTTATCTCAACAGATGCAGAAAAAGCATTTGATAAAATACAACATCCTTTAATGATGAAAACCTAAAGCAAACTGGGTATAGATGAAACATTCCTCAAGACAGTCAAGGCAACACACAAAAATCAATAGCATTTGTATACAAAGACAATACCACAGCTGAGAAAGAACTGCTAAGATAAATCCCATTCACAAAAGCTGCAAAAAATTAAATACCTTGGAGTAAATTTAACCAAGGATGTCAAAGATCTCTACGATGAAAATTATAAAATATTAAAGAAAGAAATAGAAGAACACACAAAAAATGGAAAAATATTCCATGTTCACAGTTTGGAAGAATCAATACCATCAAAATGTCTATACTAACAAAAGCAATTAACAGATTCAATGTGATCCCAATCAAAATACCAATGACATTCTTCTCAGATATAGAAAAAATGATGCTAAAATTCACATGGAAACACGAGAGACCCCAAATAAGTAAGGCAATCTTACACAACAAAAACAAAGTAATAGGCATCACAATGCCAGGTTTCATGACATACTATAGGGCAGTTATAACCAGAAGAACCTGATACTGGCACACAACAGTCTTGTAGACCGATGGAACAGAATAAAAACTCCAGAAATCAATCCATGCATTTGTAAAGAACTTTTCTTTGACAAAGGCACTAAAATCAATCCCCTGGTGCAAGGATAGTCTGTTCAACAAATGGAGCTAGGAAAATTGGAGCTACACATGCTGGTATTGGAACAAAACCTCTACATCACACCTTACATAAAAATCCACTCAAAATATATCAAGGACCTAAATATACATCCTGACACCATCAAATTACTAGAAAATATTGGGGAACCTCTGAAAGATATTGACATAGGCAAATACTTCTTGGCAAAGACCCCAGAAACACATGGAATCAAAGTCAAAACTGACAAATGGGATTACATCAAATTGAAAAGCTTCTGTGGTGCAGAGTAACACCCAGCAAAGAAAAGAAGAAACTGACAAAATGGGAGAAATCATTTGGAAACTATGCAACAAGTAAAGGATTAATATTCAGAATCTATAAAGAGCTCAGGAAATTCAATAACAAAGCAAACAATCCACTTAAGAAATGGGCAGAGGACTTGAACAGGCATTTTTTAAGAGCGGAAATTCAAATGGCCAAGAAACACATGAAAAGATGCTCAGAATCGGCCGGCGCAGTGGCTCAATAGGCTAATCCTCCACCTGCAGCACCGGCACACCAGGTTCTGGCCCCAGTGGGGGAGCCAGATTCTGTCCCGGTTACTCCTCTTCCTGTCCAGCTCTCTGCTGTGGCCCGGGAGTGCAGTGGAGGATTGTCCAAGTGCTTGGGCCCTGCACCCACATGGGAGACCAGGAGAAGCACCTGGCTCCTGGCTTCGGATCAGCGCGGTGCACCGGCCGCAGCGTGCCAGCCACAGCGGCCACTTGGGGGGTGAACCAATGGAAAAAGGAAGACCTTTCTCTCTGTCTCTCTCTCTCTCTCTC